CCGCCAAAAGGTTTGAGCTAAAAAAAAAAAAAAAAAATGTAGATTTTGTACTTCTTTGTCAGAACTGCTGAAAGAGAGAGAGACAGAGAGCAAACTGAATCTTGACAACTTTTAACCGAATCCGAGAACTTGAGAGAATCTGGCTTTATTCTGGAGCACCATTTGCCAAACAGAAGGTGGAAACTTAATGGCGCGCCCCCCGGCCCCATTTGCTTTCAGCGTTTATTCCTATTCGTGTGTGCAGGAGTGGGTCAGGATATACCCGGTGCTGAACCTGAGAAATTGACCAGTTTTGCTTACTCGGTTCCCTACAAAGGGACCTCTCACGGGAGCAAGTGCAGAGTCCCAGCTCTTTTAAGGGTGTGTGTTGAACTCTTGTGGGTGTCTGAAGCAGACTAGACGCAAGAGGGCCTGGTTCCGCCATCGCCTGAACTGTGCTGTGGGGCTCAGCCGGTCCAGCCGGAAGTGTTTCCAGGGTTGGCTCTGAGCTCCTTTTCTCAGAGAGCATCTTGACCAGTACTCAGCTCGCTTTTGCAGGCCCTGGGCATGAGGGCATGAGAGATGCGGCAGGCAGGGCCCACCTGGGGACTCTCTGTTTCCCAAGGAGGAAATAGCAAGAGCTAGGACATGTATAGAAGATGGTGCATTACAGCAACACCGAGACAGCGGCTACTCAGCTGATGCCACAAAACACAGGGTCATTTGCTTAGTGAGACATTTTGACTTCTAAGTTCCACTAAAAGTTAAATGCTAGTCCCCTTCACAGTAACAACATGACCATTTATTGAAGATAGAGACTTTTTTAAGACAGTTTCTGTCTCTGCAGTTCAGGCTGCCTGAACTCACTCTGTAGCCCAGGCTGGCCTCAGACTCATAGCAGTCCTCCTGCCTCAGCCTCCTGAGTGCTGGGACAACAGCATGCACCACCACACCCTGCAGTTGGGTTTGTATCATGTACAGACAATGTGCTTTTATTATTTTGGGTGTTCCCTAAAACAGTGAGGCATAGATGTTCCCAGCTGCAGAGAGGAAACAAGCCCGTAGTTAAGTCCTGCGAAGTCGGAGGCTAGAGCTGGTGAGTGTGGGGGCCTCTGGCTGTAGAACTCATGTAGTGTGCCGCTCTGCAGTAGGGAGATCTATCCAGACTCTCAAGCCAAGGATTCTTTACAGAGGTGTTTCTCACCGCTCTTGTAGATCAGAAACAAATCAGTCTGAACTTCGACGTGATAAAGTCACTGGGCAAGCCTGACGTGGTGGCACAGGCCTGTCATCCTAGCTGCCCTGAGTCCGACGTAGAAGGACTGCAGGTTCGAGGCAGCCTGGGCAACTTAGTGTGAGAGCTTGTCCCAGAATAAAGTGAGAAAGGTCTGGGGATACAGCTCGGCGCTCCGTGGGTTCAGTTCCCGATAGGTGCTCAGCAGACATTTTTTCTCTTAATTATGTTATTTCTCTCCTGTTTTGAAAAGCGCATGTATGGCACGAGTCTCCTTGTATGTGTGTCGTGAGCAGTGGTGACTGGAAGGGTGATGACTGCTGCTTGCCACTTACGCTGGGACACACTGTCCGAGAGATGTGCTCGTTTTCCCAGGTCAGGCTCAGTTGATGGGTTTGTAATGTACCGCTTCTAGGTGAAAGTGGAATTCCAGGGCCCGAGGAATCGCAGCCCCCACCCGATGTGGGTTCATGCTGCCCCAGCTGACTCTTCTTAAAACAGCGTCCACAGTGCCCAGCTGGAGGGTCTCACAGCTCTCACTTAGGCCTGGAGGAAGAGACAGTGACTTGCCCTGCAAATAGAGTCATCGGGTCTTGTCACCTGTCCTTTAAAACACAGCACCTTAGACCTCTACATGTTTGCCAAGTACTGTGAGTGTTTTTGGAGTCTTGACAAATCTGCTGAACTTTTCAAGCCTAAACCCTCAGGGTTACAGCTTACAAATATAGAATCCATATTCTTAGAGCCGCAGTCTCTTCGTGCTGTGATGGGTCAGAAATGACCAGCTGTTCTGGATGTCAGTCACCTGAGTGACCAAGCTACATATCCAGCAGCCTCCCAGGAAGCCTTTTCTCGACTGTATTAAAATGTGGCCACGAGGCAGGTGCTGGGCTTGCGGTGTGGCATCGAAGTACACGTCTGCATGCTGCTCACTCCTCTGGCTGCTCCTGGACTCTCCTGTCAGCCCCCTGCCTCCTTAGAATGGGAAATCCAAGGACCCTCCTGATAGCAAGTGTTTCTACTCCGCTTTTTACTGGGTACTGCCTCATCCTGTGTGTCTATAGTGGGCAGCTTGTTTTCTCCACATTTAGAAACTCTTGTCAAATAATCGGAATTATCAGCGTGATAGTTCATAGTAAATTTATAATGGATCTCTTGCTTTCTTGCTTTGCCTTTGGGCTAGGTCTCACTGTGTCACGCAGACTGGTCTCTGACCCCTCGGGTTCCAGGAACCCTTCTGCGTCAACTTCCCAAATAGCTGAGACTCAAAGTGCCCACCACCACCCCTGGCTAGTATTTTAAACATCATGTCTGGGTTTCTCAGAGTTTATCAAGGTAATGGCATGGGCGGAACCATCCCTTTCAGGGTATCAGATGTGTGCAGAGTGTCAACACTGCGGGGATCGGGGTACCGAGCACTTCTGTCACCCCAGAAAACTTTCTCCTGTCCCTTTGTTTTCAGTCCCTCTGGATCCCTAGATCCTGGCAACTACTGATTTACTATCCCTGTAATTTTGCCTTTTCCAGAATGTCATATAAATGGAATACTTTGATTCCTTCATTTAACTTCTTTAATGTTTTTGTATGAATCCTTGGGTCACTCCTTTTTGTTACTGACTAGCCTTCCATTTTAAGGAAGTGTGACCATTTATCCATTCCCAATCAAAAGACATTTAAGTTGTTGCCAGTTTGAGGCCATTGAGAATCACATTCCTGGTAACATATTTTTGTTTTGATTTGGTTTTTTTGAGACAGGGTCTCTCTAGGTAGCTCAGGCTGCCCTTGAACTCATTGTGTAACTCAGCCAAGCCTCCAACTCACAATGACCCTCCTGCCCCCGCGCCCAAGTGCTGGGATTACAAGTGTGCAACACCACGCCCAGTGAGTTCTTCTAAACATTTGTGGTCAGCGTTCTGTATAAAGTTGAGTTTTCATTTCTGTTGGATGCAATATTAGAATTGTTGGGTCGTAGTGTAACTGGTCACATAACGTTATTAGAAACTGTCACACGGTGTGCAGAAGTTACACACCATTCTCCAACGCAGCTTTTGGTGGTGCTCTTCTTTATTTCCACCTGCTATAGAGGGTAGAGGGCTGTAGTCGCTGGTACTTGTATTGCTGCATGCGTCCTAAGAGGGGTACAGTGGCACCCTGCTGGCCTTGGTTTGTACTTCCCTGCTGACGGCTGGTGTGAACCGTATTTCCGTGTGATTATTTGACACCCATGCCTCTTTTTTTTGGCGGTGTGTCTATTTAGATCTTTGGCCCATTTTTCATTGGATTAATTGTTTTCTTATTAAGTTTTGAGACGCTTTATAAATTCAAGTCCTTTTGTACCCATTGAATGTTTTGCAGGTATTTTGCTTTTTCCAAATTTATCAAGGTTTTCTTGGATTATCCCTTTGGTGACATACCTACGTTCATTCACTGAACCTTTGCCCAAATCTGGGTTGCAAAGATTCTCTCCTATATTTTCTCACAGATTTGTTATAGCTGTGAGGTTTTACATTTAAGGGTATAGACCGTGCTGATTTTTGTGTGCAATGTAAGATACGGGGTAAAGCCCACCAAATAGAAGGAGGCAGGTGTCCTGCAGTATCTGTTTAGAAGAAAAGGCACTCCTAAATGATTCTTTGCTCTCTCGTTAAACAGGACCGTGGAAACGAGTTTTGGAGAGCTGACCATAGCCCCTCAGAACCTGGCTTCGAGGCTGCCCGCGGCCCTCCCTCCTCTCCGCTCAGGGTCCAGTTTAGGTCCCTCTGTACGCATAGTCCTTACTCAGCAGAGAATTAGCAGAGCCGTCCACCTAGCAAAATTAGCACACTTTTACTTACTCCAGAGCCTCTTCTTATTACATGATTTTTAACCAACTCTTCACAGAGTCCAGACTTCCTGTGGGAAAGATGTCTCACAGCCATGGTCACATGCACCTCAGCTGAGGCAGGTGCAGACTGCAAACTTTTCCAGTACCATTGCTTTTAGCAATTTATCTGCTTTTTCCTTCAGTTTTTCATATTTAGCTTTGTAGCTTTTATCTTTTTCTGTTTTGGCGGGAAGGGATCTCACTATAATTCAGACAGGCCTGAAACTTGGCTATATCCCAGGATGATGTAGAACTAGAGATACTCCTGCCTCAGCCTCCCAAGTGCTGGGGTTACAAGTGTACACCACCATGCCTAGCCGAGAATAGTGTTTTTTTAAAAAATCATCTTGATTCCTTTTCTAACAGCTCATGTGAATCTTTTCACATGGATGATCTCTCTGCTCATCTTCACGTCTCACAGGTAGTCTTGTGGGCACTGTTGAGGTCCAGGACTCGCATATTCAGCATGGTGAAGAGACACAGGCAGAACACGGCTGTATGTCCCTCTCTGGTCTCCTCAGCCTGACTGGTTCTTAGCACAGTGAGGGATTGGAAGTGGGAGCTCTTGTGTTGGCTGATCTCGTGTCTTTAGGCATCTGTCCTGTGGACAGCGGCCCCTTGACCTGAGTGGTGTCCCCTTCTGAGACGTCACCAAAGGCTTCTCTCTCCTGTTTGGGCCCTTGGCTGTTAGCAGCTGGGATGGAGGCTCTGCTGGTTTCCGCCCCCGCCTGTCTAAAGTCCTCAGCAGTGCTGGCAGCAAGTGTGCTGTGGGCCAGGTCTGCTGTGCGCGTTCTCAGGCCCGTTCTGCTCACTCAAGCCTGGCTGCGTTGCCACCGCTGCTGCTCTTGCAGAAATCATGAACGGTTTCTAACTCGGGGTGGGGGACTGTACCTGAAAAGACCTCTTCATTCCCAAGGACGGCTCCACCAGTGTGGCTGAAATTGGACAGAGCTACAGCTGCTTTTGCCATCCTGGGGCCTCTGGAACCCTGGCAGCCCTTCTCCCTACCCTGTGGCTGCCCCAGAGTGTTCTGCTGCAGGTGCAGCCACTGCACTACAGGGAGCCGGGTTCTTGGGTACTGAGAGGATCTGGTCCCCCTCACCCCTGGCTGGCTGTGTGAGGCTGGTCCCATCCCTCGCTTCTGAGTCTCTGTTTGCATCTGGAGCAGGGATGGTGATCGCCGTGAAGGTTACATGAATTAAGCGCCCAGCATGATTGCTAGCTCAGAATGCAGTGTGTGAGCAGGGAGAGCCGTACTTGAAAGTCACATGTAAAGTGGTAAAACAAGTAAATAGAGGCACGCAGACCTCAGGCTGGGGAGGCGCTACGCTAACGCTGCCTGTGATATACTCATTTGCTGGGCACTGCGGGTCTTCACAGCCAGGGCCCATGTGCCGATTTTTTCCAGCTGTGGGCAGCTGTGCAGCCGGCCCCTCCCTGCCGTCTCTCTGCAGCAGCACAAGGAGCTCTCCCCACAGAGCTGTCCTTTTGTAGTTCATACTTCTTTCTCCTTCCCCCAGGAAGCGTCGCGGTCAGCCCCGCCAAGCTCTTCGAAGTTCCCGACACGTGGTAACAAGGCCAGAGGCAAGCAGACTGCTGGTGCTGCCGCGGGGAGAGAGGTGGCCAGCACATTCGGAAGCCACACTGACTGTCACCCAGCGTGCTGTGGGAGGGGCTTAAACCAAGGGTGTCTCCTGGAAAGACTAGTTTTTATTTTCGTGGCTGTTTCTCTTTTCCTTTTTAATGTAAAGTATCTCTTGACACACACCACAGTTGTGTGCTGCCGTGAACGTGTACGTTATTAACCATGTAGTCTTCTGTTGCTCATGCCGTGCGTTGGGCTCTGAGAATCCACCTGCCAGGGGAGTGGGCTGTGAATATCGAGAAGAGCCAGCGTTACGGGTGCTCTGGTCTCGGAATTGGGGTGGACTCCCCTGCACGAAGAGGTGCTCGTTCCTCCTCTGCTGCTCCGGCTGTGGGACACTCCTGGCCGTGGTCACGGTCTTCCAGTGGAGAAGCTGCTGTGTCCCTGTGCTTCCCACCACAGCCGCCCGGAAGTAGCCCGCGTTCAGGCAGGAAGCCATCTGCCCGTGTCAGACCCTCGGCCTTTGGACATGTTTGTGTAGCGCTGTTTTCCATGGGGGTGTCTGGGTAAGAGGTGGCTGCATTCTCCCATGAGTGCTGTGTTCTTGCCATGTCTGCGCCTGGTTGTCCTTTCTGTTCTGTTTCTGTGTGTGTTTGGGGTGCAGCGGCACGTGTCCATACGTGAGTGTGAGTGTGAGTGTGAGTGAAATCATAACAAAATCTACATGTATCAGCCCTTTCTGTAAACAGATCACAGCAGCAAAAGAAAAGTCATGGATCTCCTTCAGTAGATCTGCTTTGGAAAGATCATTGTTAGATATTTAACATTTTGTATTGTGGAAATAAGGATGAACATGTATTTCCAAAAAGATAAAATTAAAGAAATTTTCATAGAACCTGCTTCTTTCTCTTTCTAATAAGTGAATGACATATTTGCACTCTACAAAGATATATTTCACACCTCTGAAGAGAGCTGGTAAGTGACCGAGCCTGGTGTTCGTGGCTCTTTTTTCTCCTTTTATCTCTGACTGCCGTACCGGCCTCAGTGGGTGCCTCAGACCCTTGTGCTGCTGGAGCTGAGCCCGGCTGGCTCCTGGCCACTAGGAAGGTGGGAGGGATTGGGGCTGCAGAGCTCACACTGCACTCCCTGGGTATTGCGTTGCCCAGTCAGGAGCCTCTTCATCTTCCCGCTTCCCCTTCCTGCCCCTCCCTCCCTCCCCTGGAGTTGTGTGCACACAGGAGGAGCCTGCACACCTCCAAAGCTGCCATCGCACAGCTCAGTGGGAAGATGAAGGACCTGAGGTACGAACAGGGAAGGACTGAGGGGCTCCTTCAGACTTACAGGGAGTGCAATGCCTCTCTCTCTCTTTCACTTTTTTTTTTTTTTTTGGCCTGGATATGGAACTTTCTTTTTCATTAGTACACACTTACATTTTTACATTCTTTGTGGGGAGTTTTAATTCCCTTTTTCTTCCCCTTCCCATTTGAGAAAGATGTTATCTCTGTACTTCCTATTATCTATCGTTTGTGCTGTTTTTTCTTCGTTACATTTCATTTGAAAAAGAAGGGAAACTGACCCCAGATGGGGTTGCCACATAAGCAAGCACACCTTGTGTGGCAGGTGACAGGTCCCTTGGGCTTTGAAGTCTTGCCCAGGAGAGAGAGGGGAGCCTCTCGCCCTGTGGTAAGGTGAGGAGGTCTGCGCTGTACCCTGAAGCCCGTGCTCCCTGCTCGAAAGTTTTGCAGGCACCCAGGTTCAGGGCAGAGCTGGCAGGGCAGTGCTTTCTAGAAAGGGCAATCCAGAGCTTCACGGAACTGTACCTGCACAGTTGCAGCTGTGTATTCTGGGACATAACTGCTTAGCCTCTCTGAATCTCAGCTTCCTCCTCCTAAAATCATAATAGACTCACCCACCTCAGGGTGGTTGTATGGATTCAGTGGTAACGTGCAGCATGCTCAAGTATCCAATAAATGTGAAGATTATACTTGACCCAAAATCTTTATTGTGTGTGTGCTGTCAGCTGGAGCTGACAGCAGCCCTAGTCATTGGAACTTGGCTTCAAATTAAGTACTCAGCGCACCCTCACACATGACAACTTCTATTTTCCTACCCGCATCAAATAATTCAAAAAAATTGAACTGGATCAGCCCCTTCCTCCTCTATGCATGTACCCTAGGCTTTTATATTTTGAGAAAAGGTTTCACTGACTTACCCAGGTTGGCCTCAAACTTGGAATCCTCCTGCCTCAGCCTCCTGAGTAACTAGTATTATAGGCATGTGCTGGACCAGATCTGGCTCATACCAGGCTTTCTTAACATTTCTTGTGAGCATAAAACCCAAAAGGGCCTTTGGCTTCCTGATGCTAAGCCCAGGGCTTGTGCATGGGGCTTGAGTTTGGGGTCTTCTTGCATATTGTAGCCAAACCTGCAGCAGTCATGGGACTGGGACCTATATTTCCCTGAGAACTGCTTCATAGTCTTGGAGTTAGGGGCTAGGGTGGAGATTAAACCCTGTGGCTTTGCTCATTTCTCCAGTCTTCCCCTCAACATTGTATTATGAAAACTTCGAGAAGACATAAAAAGCAGCGCCCAGTGAGCACCGATCTCACCCCGTAGTGTACAGTCACCCTCTTGCCATGTTCGCTCTGTGATAAACCAGTTCAGCCACGCCTCTGTCCATCCATCCGTCAGCCTTTCTGATGCATTTCTAAACCGCAAGCCTTAGTGCCTTCCCCTTCCCCAATACTTCATGCTTGCTGCTAGCCAGAGTCTAGCATTTGTTTATATTTGGGAGCCTGCCGGGGTAAAATTTGTAGTGAAATACTGAACTCTTAAGCGTACCATTTGCTGAGTTCCCAGTAAACAAACCCCAACAGTCAGGGTACAGACCATTGCTGCCACCTCAGCAGAGTGCTCTCCATCTCTTCCCCTTGAACCCCATCCCGCTTCTACCCCCACCCCCAGAGCCACACATAGGTCTGAGTGTTTTCAGTGCAGATTCTCTAGAGTTCCATGAAAACAGGACTGCAGAGTCCGTACTCGTGGTGCAAGCTGAGGCTGGGGATGTGGCTCTGTGGTAGAGCTCTTGCCTGAGATGTGCAAGGCCCTGGGTTTGATCCCCAGGCCCGAGAAAACAGTTGACAAAGTTAAGCCTCCTTTTTCTTTTTTTCTTAATTCTTGTTTTTGTTTTGTTTCGTTTTTTCTTGCGGTACCGGGATCAAACTCAGCACCTCGCACTTGCAAGGTGTCACTGAGCTAAATCTCCAGCCCTCTTAATACATTTTTGAGAGTCATCCAAGTTATCCATGCATCAGTAGTTCCTTTATATTTTATTTTATTTTTGTGGTACTGAACTTAGGAGCTTGAACACGCACAGCAAGTGCTCTTCCACTGAGCAAAATCCCAAGCCCTTTTAAATCAATTTTTTTTTTTAAGACCAGTTCTCATTAAGTTGCCCAGCCTCCCTCAAGCTTGGGATCGTGCTTCTGCCTCTGGAACAGCTAGGGTTCTAGGTGTGTACCACAGTGCCCAGCCCTTTTTATTTCTGAATATGCATATCCCACTGTTTATCCATTCTCTAGAAGACAACCTGAGCTCTTTCCAGGTTGGGGCTATTATGAGTAAAATTGCAGTGAATTATTCTTGTGTAAGTCTTCATTTGGACAACAAAAAAAATCTTTAATTTGGGGGCTTAGATACTAAGGAGTAGGTACCTACCAAGAAGGGTCTTTTTGCTGTCAGATCTTTTCCCAGAGTGCTTGTTGTAATTTAGAATGTCACCAGCACCTGTACGCCCTCTGGTTCCCTTCCTGGCCCTGCTGGTGTTGTGAGTCTTCCTTGTCGCCACCCCTAAGGAGTGTGCGGTACCTCCTGGCAGTCTAACTCATGTCTCTGGTCATATTTACCTTTCTTTGTGGAGCCGCTGCTCAATTCTCAGGCTGGCTGTCTCTCCGTTATTAAGCTGTAGAAGTTTATTACATATTCTGGACATCAGTCCTTATTTGTAAATATTTAGTCCCATTTATGGCCTGTTTATTTTCTTAGTAGCAACTTACTGGGTAGAAGTTTGCTTGTTTGTTTCTTTACTTTGATGAAGTCTAATCAGTTTTTCCTTTCTGTGTTTTAGTAAACCCCGAAACAGTAGCCATTTTCTCTAGAAGCTTCCTAGTTTGAGCATAGAAGTGTAACTCTGGGATTGCTGTGAATTGCCCTTTTTGTGTATTGCCTGAGTCTAGGGTCAGAATTCCTTCGTTTTGTAAGAATGTGCAGTCATTTTGGCACTGGCTTTGGAGACTCTTACGAAATTGCTGTGGTGCTTACGTAAAAAATCTGTAGCCAGAGTTGGTGGTGCACAGCTGTAATCTCAGCACTCCGGGAGCCAGAAGCAGGGGGATTACGAGTTCGATTCCAAATGAGGTAAGTCAGTGACAGAGCAAGACTGTGTCTCAAAATAAATTAAAATGGCCAGGAACGCAGCCCAGTTTGAAAGTCTTGACTTCAATCCCCAGTTCCACACATACACTTACACACACACGTTTCCCTAATAAATGTGGGTTTCGAGTGTGCATTTTCATCGAGTTGTTATTTCTGGGTGGCGGCAAGGGGAGCCTGGTCGCTCTGTGCATGCACTTCCCACGTGGACAGACTTGCAGTGCTCGCTGTGACCTTCAGGAGGCAAAGTGCCCAGCAGCTTCTGCAGCCAGGCCAAGCCACCCTTTCCTGAGCTGAGAAACCACTGAATAGTAAACATAGTTCAGTCTTTTGGCTAACTTCTTTTAATCTCAAGACTTACATTACTTCACCTTTACCTGAAATCTTTTTTTTTTTTTTTTTTTTTTTTAACCTAGTGATTCATGGAGTAAATCAGTGCATTTGTTGAGGAGGGAAAATAAAATACCTGAAGGCAGTTCGTGTTTCTGCTGGTCGGGAGCCACCCACTCCTACAGGTCATCTGCTGCCTGCTAACAGCAGTTTGGTTCGTCTTAACCACTCACTTGCTTCTTTCTAACCACTTACTTCTTTCTTTTTCTGGTCATGCCGTGAACTTGAATTTGAGCATGTTCTCGATGCTGACAGGGCTGTCTGTCTGTCCCTCTTGTTGTCTGTTGTGTTACCAAGAATTGAACCCAGAGCTGTTACATCTCCAGTCCTTTTTTTTAACTCTTTGGGATGGGTCTTCTTAAGTTATCAAGTTGTCCATGCTGGGCTCAAACTTTTGATCCTCTGGCCTCAGCCTCCCAAAGTACTGGTTTTACAGGACTGAACCTAACCGAGAGGGCCTTTTAAAAATGGACACGTTTCAGACGTGTGGGGGATGCTAAGATCAAACCCAGAGGTGCTGTACCACTGAGCTGCACCCCAGCATTTTGGGTGTTATTTAGGACAGGGTCACTAAGTTGCTTAGGCTGGCCTCGAATTTGCCATCCTCCTGCCTGGCCTGCTGAGTGTCTGGAATTACAGGTGTGCGCTACCACGTTTGGCTCAGACCAGTCTTGTCAAAAAAATGATAACAAAAGAAGCCCTTTATCATTGAGGGGATCTGTGTTTCATAAGAGAAGTGGATCATCCTCGTGCTGATCTTTGAAAAAGAGAACACAGCGAAAGACAAGAGCAGAGAGCTTGAAGCCGTGGCACCCTGCCTGGCCATGCAAGCTTGGACTTGGGCAGAGCCTTCAGGGGAAGGTGGGGACCCTGCAAGCCCCACACCAGGCCTGGCTGCTTCTCATGGGAAGATCTTGCCAGGGTTCACACCAGCCTGAGAACCAGTTACCAGCCCTTAAGCACTGCCTCTTCCTGCAGGAGGGGAGAGCGGGCAGGGGTCTCCACCTCACGGACCCTGTGGGCCTTCCAAGGCTGGACACTGGAATC